TTTGTACGCAGAAAAGATAGCACTTTCAGTCCTGCCAAGGAATTTCCTCCTAATTCAGCAAAAGAACAATTGTCAGTGATCTCCGATGGCGGTAGAGATATGGCAAAAGAAAGCGCGGCTTTCAGTATATCCATTTTTGAGCCATGATTGGACACATTATGTAGTAGATTGTCGCTACCCAGCAGCGCTTGTAGGGCACGGTTATCGATTTTATCATTTGCAGTAAGTGGAAGGATTTCCACTGGACGGATAAGATCTGGGATAATGAAGGAATCGTATTTCTCAGTCAAGGTCTTCCGCAACACGACCCCATCAATATCTTCAGGTGTTACAAAGGCCACAAGGCGTCCTTGATGCATAAAAGCTGTAGCCGCCATAACCTTCGGGTGACTGCATAACATGGGAATCACTTGTCCATCAAGACTCACAAGGAATCCACGGTTCTTGACAATGTTGTCCTTGCGTCCGGCAAATTCTAGCCCGTGGTCCGTCAATCGCGCAAAATCCCCAGTGCGATATATCCTCTCCCCTTGCCAGTACACAAATTTTTCAGCTGTGAGTAGTTCATTCTCATAGTATCCTCTGGCTAGGCCTGGTCCAGCAATGCAAATCTCTCCGTAGTGAGACTCAACTTGCCCATCAAGTAACATCACACGGCTGTTTGACATTGGACGCCCCAAAGTGATTGGCTTATCAGGGTAAAGTCGAGACACCAGACACGCAAAAGTAGTTTCCGTAGGCCCATAAAAGTTGTATATGGGAGAAGTCGGCAAAGATGCTGCCCACTTGCGAACCAGTGAAGTGGGTGCTGCTTCCCCTCCAATCATGATGGCTCGCAGATTGGAGTAGCTCGCCGGATCCTGAATTGTAGCCAACACTGAAGGCGTACATGCCATGATTGTACAGAATGTCGCAGTGTACAAGAAATCGGCCGGAGTGGCAATCTTCAGCTCCGCGCCATTACACAATGCCGACACGGTAACAGCCGTGCAAGCATCAAAAGCGGGAGAAAAGATTAAAATAACGATATCAGCTGGAGACGAGCTCAAGTTGAACGGCGTTATCTCTCCCCCTTGTTGGACATAATTTAGGACTGAACTGTGAGGAATCATGACCCCCTTTGGTGTAGAGGTTGTGCCCGATGTAAAAATTATAAAGGCAAGGTCACTGGGATCAATTCGTTTCCAGGGGCGATCCAGTTCGTTGTCCCAGTGTCGCTCGATGGTCGGTGCAAAGGCACACTCGATTTCTTTCAGCGAAATCTCCTCATATCCATGATATTCCTCTGTGCTGGTATTCAAAAGGACACGCGCGGATACTCGCTCCAGCGTTGAGTGGATGCGATCTTTGCTCCAGGATTCCACATCGATGGGCACGTACAAAGCGCCTGTTTTAAGAACGCCTAGGAAGCAAATTACCATTTCGGGGCTTCTCTGAGCCATGACAGGAATTTTATCGCCGGGCTTGACTCCTTTCTGCAATAAAAGCCATGCAATATGAGATGTAGCATTGTCAAGCTCGGCGTATGTGATCTTTCGTTCACCAAAAGAAATGGCAACATGGTCAGGCTGTTTCTGTGACCATTCTTCAATGAGATCGCATATCGTTCTAGGCTCTTTGCGAGCTCTTTCAGCGGCAATCGCCATCTTTGAACTCCTCTTTGGCGCCAGTGTGGCAATTGACGAGGCAAAGAGTTTTATGACCAAAGTGAGAGGTGTTATCGGAATCGGAGAGAGGCTAGACGTATTCTGTTATCCCAGCCACGAATAGTAACCGTTCATGTCTTGTAGTCGAATTTTCCAGTTATTGTTGAGAGATGTTTGTAGAGGATCCAAGCTCATGTCATGATGATATATTTGTAGGAAAGAAAATGGAAAACACATGTAAGCTGACTTGCCGTTGTCTTGCTCTCTACAAGCGCTGAGCTTACAGCATCAAACTTATTTGCCGACACCGAGTGGCGTCTTATGAAGAGCTCCGATCAAGCATCAGGATAGTTCATATGGCTCTCTGTGTAGGGGTTTTGTGTTAAAATACGGCTCTCTTAAAGGTCTTTACAGGGTAGGTCAAGATAGGGATGAGGCTCGGCTCATATCGGTCTATAAACGTAAATAGATGGTCTCGGCGAATATTTGGTTGGCCTGCGCACTTTTCCGTGTGCACGGCACGGACTCGGTTCGTAAGGTTATAGCGACCGAGATATTCGATACTCCGTACAAACATCTAGAGCCAACATCATCTCTTTTTTAGCATACTGACTGGCCTCTCGGCACATATAGCATCTATAGGATATCTTTTCATATATTATGCTCGATTCGAAGGCATTCAATATGGAGAGCAGACTCCTCTATCATCCTCTTTCTCGTAGATTTTACTACTATTCGACTCAAGCCATCACGGCCTTCTCATAGAACAGTTGAACGATAATGTCTGGTGAGAAAACAGAGCCGCCTCTTGTGCCAGAACCTCTGGCTATTCGCGACGAGCATGAATCCGAAGCAACCAATCACGTATCAAAGCCCGAATGGAAACTGTCGAATCGCACATTGTTAGTCTTCATTACCATCTGCGTTTTGACACTCATGGTTGCTTTGGATAGCACATCGATCGGTGGAGCATTGCCAGTCAGTACAATTGACCTTCATTGCTATACATGTTCAGCTGATCAAGAATGAACTTGTAGACAATTTCAAGAGCGCTTCATAGCTCCGGCATAGAGACTTTCTGGGCCGGTACTGGATTTTTGCTGTGCGCAACAGGTATACTCCGCCTTGCATCGTCTCTATCCTTCCGCAGTGTTAACCAACATATCGATGCGCAGTCTTCCAGCCAAATTTTGTTTCCTTTTCCACCATCTTTGGTCGTCGATCTCTCTTCATTGTCGGCATAATTTTCTTCTTCGTTGGAGCCGTGGTAGCAGGTGTATCGAAGAATGTGACTCAGCTACTAGTTGGCCGATGCATACAAGGTGTCGGAGGGGGAGGCATCTCGGCCATTACTGAAGTTCTCATTGCTGACCTAGTGCCGATGCGGCATCGAGGACAGTATTACGGCCTCATGAATGCCATGTGGAGCGTGGGATCCGTCTGTGGTCCCATCATCGGAGGCGCTTTCGCAGGCAGCGCGTCATGGGTAAGAAACACAACACACCAATACAACTTACCTGTCTGCGGGTGGCTAATATCCGTGGTGTCATACTGTAGCGGTGGATATTCTACATCAATTTCCCCTTTGTCGGCATTGGGATTGTTTGCGTTGTCGTCTTTATGAACCTCCACTTCGTCCCAACATCACTTTCTGACAAGCTTCGCCAAATTGATTATATCGGTTCCATCATCTTCATCGGTAGCACGACGGCATTTCTCATTCCCTTGACGTGGGGTGGTGTAGTGTACAGCTGGGACTCGTGGAGAACACTGGTCCCTCTCATTATTGGCAGCACCGGGTGTGGCGTATTTGTCGTTTATGAAGCGTACTTTGCCCCTGCTCCCATCATTCCGATCGATCTCTTCAAGAACCGTACTGCCAGCGTCTCGTTTGTCAGCGCCGGGCTATCGGGGCTACTCGTTTGGTGCATCGTCTACTATATGCCGTTGTATTTCCAGGCCGTGAAAGAGTACAGCCCCGTCTTAACCGGAGTGTGTATCTTCCCTCAAACATTCACTGTGGCACCCGCAGGTGCGATAGCTGGTATAGCCATCACAAAGTCTGGTAAATACCGATGGGCAATTTGGTCGGGATGGGCTCTGGCGACTCTGGGTCTGGGTTTGCTCTGCATTCTGGAGGTCGGAACAAGCGTGCCTGGTTGGATCTTTCTGAACCTGGTCTCAGGGATCGGCCTCGGATTTCTCTTCCCATCGGTAGCTTCAGCAATACAAGCGGCCACTGCTCCAGAGCATGTCCCGATGGCTTTGGCCATGTTTAGTTTCTTCAGGTCGCTCGGCCAGGCTGTAGGAGTCGCCATCGGAGGGGTGATATTCCAAAACCGGATGACGGCAAACCTCCTCAATTACCCAAATCTTGCGCCAAACGCCACGGCTTATGGCGCCGACGCCGCTGGCTTAGTCGATATCATCAAATCGATGCCCAACGGCCAAAACAAGCATGATCTTCAACAGGCCTTTGTCGATAGCCTGCGCATTGTTTGGGCAGTCTGTTGCGCTCTGGCTGGTTTCGGGCTTCTCCTCAGTCTGCTCAACCAAAGTTACAGCATTGATCGAGAACCGGATAGCAGTCAAGGAATCGTTGAGAAGCATCAGGTTCATCCTCACGCGGAGAGCACGGGAGTTTGATATCAGATTGCTCCAATCAGTCTTAACTGGAATAAGCTCCGATCTCCGCCAAGATCCACCTACAACAAGCGATTCAACGCTTGGAACATCTTCCGTAGTATAGTGGTCAGTATGCAAGCTTGTCACGCTTGAGACCCGGGTTCAATTCCCGGCGGGAGAGACCGCCAGCAGTTCCAAACTGTAAATTCTTTTTTTTTCCGAGCTGCTTTCTTTTTGTATCATCGTTTGTTGTTTTGCGTTTCTTGTTTATATCCGTAGTGCCCTGAGTGAAGAACATCAAATTCGTGGCTGCGGGTAAGCAGTGCATGATGCAGTTCATCTCCGCGGCTATGTCCAGCCTACATCCAACCGCTGTGGGTCAATGGGATCAATCACTAATGCGGAGGCATTCTGCATGTGCGAATGGAAGGATGTCTGGAGCTTCTCATCTGTTGCGGGGATCGTTGGAGTATCTCTCAACCTAAGAATTGAACAAGATTGATTGGTTCGTTTTCAGTGATCACTCTGCACATGTAGTTAGTAGCAACTGCTGCAGACATGATCCAACCGATTGCGAGCCCTTGGCTACTGATGGCGACATGAGCGCAGGTGATTTTTAGCTTAGGTAACAACATCAACGTCCTATCATGAGAGACCAACCTTCTCCAGCCTTCATGACGACATTCAGAGAACAGGTGTAGGTGATAACATTTAGCCGATGGTGGAGTGGTGATTTGTAAAGCTGGGATGTACCGATGTGATCAAACAGAATAAATCAGGCACACGCGCGAGCAAAACATGTCCTTCTTTTGTAGGCCCTGACCACGAGGCATTTCAAGATATCCTGTAATTGGCTTTGTTTTAGCATTCTAAAAAAGAAAATTTCATTCAATATGGCCGCCGCCGCCGTTCAAATCCCTAGACAGCCGGACATTTCATATGCTCCCGACTATGACAACTACCTCAACCGCATCAAGCGGCGCCAGGAGAGCGAGAAGCTGGAAAAATCTCTCCCACAAGGCTTTCCCGCCAAGCTTGAGTCCGATCTTGTCTGGGATGGAAGGAACTTGGCCGAGACATACGACTGGAACTACGTTTTGACCGAGAGCGATATTGCTGAGATCGACCAAGCCCTTCGCCACTTCAAGTGTGAGATCCCTGGATTGTCTCCTGATGAGTGAGATCATGGGCTATTATACTGACACCACGGCTCAATAGCACTCAACTTGGGCCTGGGCTACGTTACTCAAGAGACTTTTCCCCTGCCAAAACTTCATGAAACTCTACGGGAGATCTCAAAAGAAGTTCACCTAGGTCACGGTTTCAAGGTCGTCAAGGGTGTTCCGGTTGACAACTACAGCCGTGAGGAGAATGTCATCATCTATGCCGGCATTGCATCTCACATTGCCCCCATTCGTGGCCGCCAAGATCATCAACTCGACGGAAAGCCAGCTGATGTTGTTCTCGCACACATCAAGGATCTCAGTCAGGAGATTGATCCTCACAAGATCGGAGCGCCAGCCTATACGGCTGACAAGCAGGTTTTCCACACTGACGCCGGAGATGTGATTGCTCTCTTCGCTCTAGGAGAGCCTGAAGAGGGCGGCCAGAGCTTCCTGTCGAGCAGCTGGCATGTGTACAATGAGCTAGCAGCAACACGGCCCGATCTTATCCGGACTTTGTCTGAGCCTTGGGTTGTCGACGAGTAAGTGAAAGGAATAAGCGTCTTTACATTATATAAACATCAGAGTTCATTGTTAATGTTTTACTAGGTTTGGGAAGCGTGGCAAGAGTCATACCGTGCGACCTCTTCTATACTTCCAGCCCGCTACTGCAGACACCCCTCAGCGCATGATCATCCAATATGCGCGACGTACGTTCACAGGATACTGGGGCCTTCCTCGATCGACTGATATTCCTCCGATTACTGAAGCTCAAGCTGAGGCACTGGATGCTCTGCACTTCACAGCTGAAAAGTACCGCGCGTCGCTCGACTTCCACAAGGGCGACATTCAGTTTGCTAATAACTTGAGCATTTTCCATGCTCGTGACAAATTCCGAGATTCTCCAGAGAAAAGGTATGCGTGTTTATTATACGAATGATGATATTCTCAGAGTGTACAGTTCCGCTAATGCTATGTGACAACAGGCGCCACCTTGTCCGTCTTTGGCTGCGTGACCCAGAACTTGCCTGGGAGACGCCGGAGCCGCTGACTGATACATGGAACAGGATTTACAAGGACGTTAAGCCTGAAAACTCTGTCTTCCCGCTGGAGCCAAGAGTTCGTAGCGCAAGTGACGGAAAGCCTGATGAGAGGCCTGATGAGAAGTACCAGTAGACTACATGAATCAATTGACGCGGGGTGGTCTACAGTAGTATATCCAATATCCAGAAGAGCAGTTACACCACGTGCGTATTTGGGAATTCTTTGCCAAATTGAATGATTGTAATTCTGGTAGCGCATGGGCTTCACATAATTACATACAGTACAGCTGCATTCATCCTTGCTAGATCGCCACTGGTTCACAGATAAGCTCATCTCATGCAGCGTCAACCGAAAAAGGTTCTCGAACTGGCGAGATTCCTGGATTGTAGCATTCAAGCTGGACCAACCACAATCATTTTCCTCAATTTGGTTGTAGTTGCACACGTATCCTTGCCTATTCAACTCGCATGACCCGACACCAGCCTAGCGAGTCAAGGCCTGAAGATCCTGGTACCACATCGCATCACAATTACGAATATGGCGACATGGAGAAATGTGACCTATCGTGTCTCTTGGAAGATTTCTCGGGCTGGGCGATAAGGTTTCGACGGCCAATTCCATCTCGTGCTCTCCACGATGAATGAGCCCATTCTTCTACATATCCGCTACCCCCACGAGGTTGCTTATGAGTGAGAGATTGGTGTAATGTGAGACACTCAGCCGTAAAGGCATCACATGCATACATGTCACCTAATGGTATTAGACAAGGCTCAGAGCCAGAGACTCTGTCGATAGACGAGCTTAGCGATTCATGGCAGTCTCTTTGATTGCGTTATTGCTGCCTTGTATCGTCGCAATCAATAGTATCGCATCCACCAGACGGGGATCCCCGTTGCCAAGCTCGCCATCAATGACTGGCAGAGGGTGTAGATCATCTTTGTGTAGCATCCCTAGCAAACAGCCGGGGTGATGTGGTGCCCAAAAGCAATTAAATCCCATACATGTCTCAGTCGACCTCATTTAAGCTTCTCACCGGTGCTTCATCTTGTTCATTAATCCTAAAAACCAGGCCTCATAGACAATTGTCTAAGGCTGGATACTACCATCCAACGTCATCATCACTTCCTGCCATAACTAGATAGAAGTGATTGGAGACATTTGGCGACAATGCCTTCTTTCTGGCGGCGTCCCTTCCGCAGCGGCGAAGAGGCCCAACCTGCCGAAGCAGAAGAGCGCGGATCAACATCAGATAGCGATCCCTCTGAGCTCGTCGCTGGAAACACCTACTACATCGCTGGCAAGGGAGCCAACAACAAAGAGACGTCTTACCAAGATGCTTCTGGTGCACCTGTCGAAGAATCATCGCCTTTGGGGTACCATGTCGGACCCTTGACAATCTTGTTTCTCAATGTGAGCAAGATGATTGGCACAGGCATCTTTTCAACTCGTCAGTAAACTACTCTTCCCAATGTTTGAAACGGAATAGTCTTTCTTATACGATAGGATCTGCAGCTTCAACAATTCTTGCAGGCACCGGCAGTATAGGGCTCAGTCTAATATGGTGGGCTCTTGGCTTCTTGACATCGATCACAGCGTTTGCTGTGTATCTCGAATTTACTGCCTATTTTCCTTCGCGATCCGGCGCTGAGGTGGTGTATCTCGAACAAGCGTTTCCACGACCACGCTGGCTGTTCTCGACCGCATTCGCTTTCCAGTCCGTCATCTTATCATTTAGCAGCGCAAACTCATATGGTAGGTGATTTAGCAGCAGTCCGAGCAAGATGAGGATTAAAATATCTAATATCGAGTCTCATATTAGTATTGGCCCAATATCTCTACAAAATGACGGATCATAATCCAACGGATTGGCAACTAAAGGGAGTGGCCATAGCTGGTTATACCGTCGCTCTTCTAGGTACGTCTGCTATAATTCATGAGAGAGTAGCTATATTCGGAAAAATACAAGACACTAATATAGCGGTCTAGTCGTCGTCTTACACAACAGATTTGCGTATCATCTGGCCAATGGTATTGGGTTTGTCAAAATCGCTACATTGGTGTTCATCTCGATAACCGGATTCGTGGTCCTCGGAGGACATACTCGCATTGAGAACCCAACAGCCAACTTTCATAATTCGTTTGAAGGAAAAGCTACTGCATACGGAATTACGAATGGTTTGTACAAGATCATTTTCTCTTACTCGGGATTCGAAAATGCTTTCAATGTCGCCAATGAAGTCAAGGTAAGCTTCCTTGGGATTGGTATATCCACGCATTGGTTCATTTTCTTACACTGCCTCGTAGAACCCTGTGAAACAGATCCGACGGCACGGTTACATTGCCATCTGGTCTGTCAGCATTCTTTACATTCTCACCGTCATCGCTTTTTATGCCGCGAGTAAGTGCACAAACTCTCCCTAGCTGGCCACATGGGGCTCTACTAACTGTATTTCGTCTCAGTCCCAAAGGAAGACATCATCAAGAGCAAACTAACCGTTGCCAATCAATTTTTTATCAACGTGTTTGGAAATACCAAGCAAGTCAAGGCCCTCAACTTTCTGATTGCAATTAGTGCCTTTGGCAATCTAGTGGCAGTGTTCATCGGAACTTCGAGAATCATTCGCGAGTGTGGTCGCCAAGGCGTACTCCCGTGGACCAAGTTCTGGGTCTCAACATTTCCTCTTGGTACTGCCCTTGGGCCGTATCTGTTCAAATACGGTATCACGCTTATTATGATCCTTGCCCCTCCTGCTGGCGATGCCTTCAATTTCGGTACGTATCAAGACTCTACGTTGATTATCTCTGTTGTCGCAGTCTGTTACTAACGAAACTCACAGTCAGCGACCTTCGGATTTACCCCGGCTCCTTCTTCGACTTCCTGATGAGCGTCGGTCTCCTTATCGTGAGACACAAGCGAAAGGCTCTCAATCTCCCAAGGCCAGAGTTCAAAGCGTGGGATATCGTCATTTGGTTCAGCATCCTGAAAAACCTCTATCTCCTCGTGATGCCCTGGTATCCTCCTGCAGGGGGAGCAACAGGTGGCGACGTTAGCTTTTGGTATGGTACATATGTGGTCGCTTCAATTGGCATGTAAGTTTCAAGATCCGGATACAATGATGAATAGGAATCGGTCGCTAACTCATTATAGTCTATTGGCCTGTGTCGCTTATTATTGGCTTTGGATTCACGGCATTCCTTACTTCCGAGGCTATAAGATCCGAGAGGAGGTTGTTACTCTCGACGACGGGTCAAGGAGCCATCAGTTGGTCAAAGTGCCAAATGCTGAAGTGGAAGAATGGGATAGGACACATGACCACGCTGGACGGATAATTACAGAGGCCACGGAAGTGAGTGATAAGACAGCCAGCAACGTTGTGGTGGTCGGAAAGGATAGCGCTGTATCCAGCACACAATGAGGTCACATGCTCTCTAATGCTACAAATTATCTACCGATTACATTATCTTCCAATCCTCCTTTGAACGCCATGATCCATATGGAGTAGAGATTACTTGATAGTTTGTCTGAATAATTTCCGGACATCTGCAGGGAGAGTTGCCCCCACTGACTCTATGGGAGTGGCGATTGCGCCTCTCAAGGTGTCATAGTTGCTATTTTCCTCACGATATCGTCTATCAGAGAGCACGGATACTTGTCGGAATTTTTTTTAGGTCACAGAATCATTATATTTCGGGCGCGGATCGGATCTCAGCCGGGATACACAGGAAGTTTGTTGCCTTTGATGCGACCAGCTCTCACCGCTTCGGCAGCCACAATTCTCCCTTGCTTTAGATGCTGAAAGACCAGGGAGAGATAAAAAGTCTTGGCAGTATTACAGTTATCGAAATATGAATCACGCGCTTGATTTATGGTGATTGTATGCCATTTTTCGTCTGCGGTTGGTAAATACGCCTCCTGTTCTCCTAGTTATGAATCCAGACTTCCAACTAACCTTTCAGTTACAGGACGGTTTGCCACTGTCTCAAATTAAAATGCATTTACTTAGCAAATGTACTAAATGTAGTTTTTCTGAATTTTCTTACTTGTGTAACAGAGACGTTGGCAGCCTGCAGGGCAGCAGGGCTATCGGAGAACGTGGCAGTGGCAGTGCTGCCGTTGACATTTGTTATCTCAAGGATGCCAAGAGTCGTCGTCAGCACAACTTAACATATAATTCTGCTCCTATGTATTCACAGCGTGAATCTCAGCATGTTATCAACAAGCTGATAAATACTCCATGATTCGGCCACCCTGATACTATTTGTTCCCTTTGGGGGCCATCTCGTGTTATTGACCAGCTGCTTTCCAGGCATACTCGCAAAATCGTGATGAAATTACATCTTCAAGGTTCATAAATTACATTTAAATCTAATGGACTACAAAATAACAACCACACGCACGTAATTTAGTCAGTGTCGTCGGTATTGGAGGAAAGGTCGAGTCTACACGAACTGCGCTCCCGTCAGGCTCGGAGGATCAATAAATCTCATATCTCTTGTGGACCAAGAAGCCACCACGCAGTGCAAATAAGCTTAAAAATATGGAGTGCGTCAATCTCGGCCAGATCTTAATCCAACAGAGACGGCCTGATCGCCAGCAGAGGTGCATCCAGGCCCCCCTTGAGCACACCATCAAGAATTAGGCGCCTTGGTATTTCAGCCGCTACGCTAACAATAGCAATCTAGACTGGATTCAACCACTGCCAAGGGGGTACTCATTGCTTGCGGAGCCCTCGACTTTCCGTGATATTCTCGGACCTCCGTTACATCTACCGTTCTTGTCAGCTGAGATTCGTTCGTTTGGTACATCGGCTATTTCCAGCTTCTGCTCATCGCGTCTTGGCGCCAACGTTGGCTGAGCCAGCCGCAAACAAGGATATGACTGTGGATAGTATGTCTTGTTACCTCAACCTCGGATACCGCAATGACAAGTAACCGCTTCCAACAAACAGGGCTACGAACATGTGCTCCGAATCACATATAGGGCTGCAGGATGTGACATATTCCGGGTGCTTGGAAAGACAATGGCCGTTTGTTAAGGGGCTCAACTGGGTCATGTTCCATCATGTAAGTCTCGAGTTGTGTAGCAGCGGACTTCCAGAATCGGCTCGGGCTACTGTTTGAGAACGCCAAGAATGGGCCACGTTCAACAACGGCGGCAGCGAAGCTTGGACTTCGGTAGGGGCCAATCCATGGGCTGTCAGTACCCAAGGGATTGGTTTCATATTAGACAGGGTGGCGGGAATGTGTGGCATGGGAAGCCATAGTTTGCACGTGTGTATCTGCCACTCGCCCACCCAACACCGCATTCCAAACGCCAAACCACAAATGTATAATGAACGACATATTTTTCTGTGTACTATAGCAGTCATGACCCTCATAAGTCCAACTCCATATCACAAAGATTTTGATCTTTCGATCCATCCATAAGCTCAAAGAGCGTACAATTTTGCAGATAGTATTTGCCTCTCTTAGGATACCTTCATCTTTATGACCTTCGAATAGTCGTACTTTTAGGGGGGAACTTTACTCTCCTTCAAGAACATCATCTCCCCAATACAAGTGTCTTCCTGGGGCTTCATGACCACTCCAACTCCCGTTCCCGGCCGGCAGTGCTCGCCACACGGGTCAACTTTTAAAAGTGACGAATGAATTGCGAGTATTCTGCCACACCCGTGAAAGCTATGACTCTAGGACGACCTGTTTTGCAGCCCCCAGACCCAAAAAAGCGGCACCATCTTCTTGGTCCCGAGTGTTTGCTCCGAAGAGAAGATTGGGGGCCCGAAAACGCAGATCATCAGCCGGCAGTGCCTCGAAACAGCAAGCATCTCGATTTACATGTACCTCGTCGTTTGCATGTTCCTCTATTTTTATTCTATATTGGTATCCATGGATGAATGAGCCATCGCTTATCACGGATGTCGGTGTGACCATGACCTGAATCCCGTTGGTTCTACCCGAGCAAGGGTTATGTACATTTATGCATGGAGCGATTAGCAGCCAACTCCCGATGGGGTAGTGTAGCTAGGAGGCTGATGATTTAGAGTAAAAAATATAGATAAAGGGAGGACACCCAAACTATGTTGTCTTAGTCTGTTCATCAGCAAAGGTCTCTTTTTCACTGCTAGTTGGTACAATCTGTCTCTGAATAGCATCCAAGAGGATATCATCTTACCAACCTTTCTACTATCTATTCCCCCATACTGCTCATTTCTTTCTTCTTTTTTGGACAGAATAGAAGTCATGGCCAAAGCATTTATGAGAGATGAGGATCTCTGCCAACGATACGCGCAGTTTGCATCAGACTTAGACCGGTGGCATTTCAAGATTCTCTACTGGTTCATGTTTGTGCTGAATCTTGTGATCCTGTTCATCGCATCTTGGACATACACAAAGTACATCATCCCTCTTTGGATCTTTTGAACATATATACAACTATTCTATTCTATTCGTGCTAACTGAATCTTGATACAGAACCCAAGAAACGAACGAGGAATTCAGTCACCAGCCACAGAGGCGGTCGAGGAGCTTGATCAAATACATGCTCGTGTGTCTTGCCTGTGTTCTGGTTTCAGCTGCTGTAGTAATTATGGAAGCTTTTGCACTGTTGGCTCTGCAGTTCTGCGACGGAGAGAATCTCATTTCCCTTTATTGGTCAACTTGGACCATGATCCAGGTTGGATCACTGATTGCGATGATGGGCATCATCCTTGCCATGGCACATTCATTGCGAAACAGAAGACACCCGTGAGTCTATTGACTATAAGCAAGGGATGTATTTCAAAGTGCTAACCATTGGTATTAGGCCGTGGGCTCTGGCCTTGGGAACGCCCGTTCTCGTCATTGCTGGCTTGTTGCATCTTATCCACGACTGCACAAAGAAGCGAGTCAAGAAGATTAGAAATGGTTCCATCATGAAGAGTAGCGTCCCTTCTATGAGTGAAGTGTAAGGTCACGGTATTTCCTTGTCGGTCTATCCATGCTAACTCTCATTATCATCTACAGAAACACAATCCAAGGGAATCTTGAAGACGACCTCGAGAACTCAGTGTTGGGCGAGTTCATTGGATTCACAGTGGAAGGTGGTCCAATAGTCCGCTTCAACGATTCCATTCCACTGAATCTCAGCCAAAACTTCTCATTTGAAGTTTTGGGATATTGCGATGGCACTCGACCTGTGGTGGCATATCAAAAGGGCTCCATTCAGATCCTGCCCACTGCAGACAAAGACAACCAAGGCACCCAGAAAGACGCTCGATCACCGCAAGAGGAGAAATTCTCTGATGGGACACAAGAGCCTCGGCCAGGGGCAGCTGGGGGTACATGACACTCGATTTGATCTATTGCATCTACAGGTAGTGTGGAAGAATTGGAACAAGGGGGTGAAGTACATGTGTAGGTTGGTATATACCTGTATCTCGGCGGGCGGGCGAAGATCCAATTATGGAGAGTCAGGGATTATTTTGGCAAAAATGGTGAGACTGTGGGCAGATGTAGTGAATTGAATTACTATATGCACAGATAGACTTGGCGTCTTGTATATACATAGACTGCGAGCGAGTATCATGAATAATCTCCAAAGGAGTTGCAGTGGCCCGCCTAATCGATACGGAGTCTTGGAGGGGCAATTTTCCAATTTTAGTGAGCCAAGAAGAAAATGTCAATGGCGGGGCAAATTCGGGCGCCCGAGCCGCCGTCCGTTCATCGGCGCTTGCTAATCAACCTGTGGCCGAACGATTGCTTCATTCTTACAAATCAGCTCCAGAGACGGCTTAAAACAACATTTAATCGTTCTGGCCTTGTCTGGTCAAGCAGATTTACGCTGATGCTGATGTTGATGCTGAAGCGCCATCGACGCTCAGGCTAAGCAGCAGAATCGCCATGGGTTTGGAAAAGGTCAAGCACGTTGTGCTGGTACGTCAGTCAAAACATCCGACGGGCTCAGTTACAGTTACAGTTACAATTACAGCGTGCTAATCTGCGGCTCTCTGGCAACTACAGGTGCTCTCCGGTAAAGGAGGCGTGGGCAAATCTTCGGTGACGACACAGCTGGCCCTGTCTCTGACGCTCGCCGGCCACTCGGTGGGAATCCTCGATGTCGACCTGACCGGCCCGTCCATCCCGCGCATGCTATCGATCGAGGCCTCCAAGGTCAAACAGGTACCGGGAGGATGGGCTCCGGTTCCCGTCCATGAGGCAGATCCTGAAACCGGCTTGGGGGGTCTGCATGCCATGAGTCTAGGATTCCTGCTGCCCCAAAGAGGCGACGCGGTGGTGTGGAGAGGCCCCAAGAAGACGGCCATGATTCGACAGTTCCTCAAGGACGTGCTGTGGGACGATACCGACTACCTTCTCATCGACACTCCTCCGGGAACCAGCGACGAGCACATATCACTAGCCGAAACGCTGCAGAAGGACGCCCGCCCAGGCCAGGTGGCTGGCGCGGTGGTTGTGACGACGCCCCAGGCAGTGGCCACGGCGGACGTGCGCAAGGAGCTCAACTTTTGCGTCAAGACGGGCATCCGCGTGCTGGGAGTGGTGGAAAACATGAGCGGCTTCGTCTGTCCGCACTGCTCCGAGTGCACCGACATCTTCGGGTCCGGTGGCGGGCGGTCCATGGCGGAGGAGTTCAAGGTACCGTTCCTAGGATCCGTACCCATTGACGCGCAGTTTATCGCCCTCGTCGAGGAAGGTCAGCGGCCGCATTACCCAGCGGGAACGGTAGTGAATGGCCGGGATATATCAAGCGATGAGAAGCCCGACAAGCCCCAGGATAAGGGCGAAGAAACGCTGGTGGACAAGTACAAGGACTGCTCGTTGTTCCACATATTCGTAGGCATAACCTCGCAGCTCGAGAAGAAGGTTGCTGGGGCAGAAGTTACATGACATGGCGCTGCACTGCATTTACTTGTGCCACAATTGTTTTCGTGATAGCATACCTCGCCGTACATACCCCATCCTCGCAGTAATGGCTGTGCTGGAGCTGTGAGACTTGCATACATGTGGAACAGGCGCCCTTTGAAGCGGGTGCTTCCGCTACCTCCCTTGTCTAGACAGGTAGTTACTTGATATTACGTGGACGAAGGATTAAGCCCTAGGCACTCTCCCAGTCGACAGAGGCTGGTTTCACGACTAGATTTTTCCAGAGGGCTTCGAGCGGGATACATAGACAGGCTGAGATTTTTAGTAGTATGGAAGCAGCTTCAGTATCTCGAATCCATGTCCACTTACCGCATATTACGCGCTATCTGCCCTACGTACTAATGCGCATATGCATGGTGGAGAGCTGATAGTAAGTCTTCCCGCGGTGCTGCGTAATGAGACATTGTGAAGCACGCGACATGCATTCGATATATCCCTTGCGCTGAGTGAATGCAGCCACTCCGCCACGCTGCCTGACCGAATGTCATCCATCAGTGCCCAACCTAATACCCCAATACTTGCACATACATGTCTACGGGTACCTGGCAGAGCGGAAAGGGGCTCCAGGGCTGCGTCTCTGCTGTCTTTGGTGATGAAAGAAGTCCAAAGCACATATACCACCTCCTTACAGCCAGGCGCCCAACTTCCAGCCCTGCTTTAGGCGACCCAACCAACAAGAGCCCAAAAACCCCCCATTTACAGCTCTGGCAGCTTCAATACATATTTTCGTCATCCAAAAGCCACAGGCAAATGGCCTCTGGCAACAAAGTTTCAAGCTGATTTCTTCTTCCGGTAGCCCCGCCGGTCCATCGCTGCCCCTCTATCCAAGCCCTGGTTTATACTGGCAGAAAATACAGCAGCACTTGGGCCGTTTCTGGCTGGCGGTGCGCGCCGTGGCTTATCTGGGAGTGCCTGGCCATCATAAGTGGGTACCTCTAGGAAGAAAAAAAAATTACATGGAGAGGATCGTGAGGTGTGATGTCAACATGGAAGATATTTGTACTCGTACAGCTGAGATGCTGGGATTGCACAGTAAATGTAAAGGACACAAACTTGTGAATGCTACATCTGACGCTTTGTCTCTCTGTTATGGGCACGAATGTATACAGCCGAAATGTAGGGAGAAATGGCCACGTCGTTTGCGGCTGGCTGTCTTTTTTTGTTTGCCATCAAAATTCAATTCATCCATCACTGCACCTGCACTTTACTTTTTTCCCCCCTGCTTGTTAGTGGAGCCTTGTGCTGTAGCTGTAGCCGCAGGTACCTCAGCTGCATCTGCCCGCAGCCAGGTACTGCAGGGTACCCGGCGCCGGGTCCTGATTGGGCTGCATCCTCACTACAGTATCACACAAACACAAACCTCGTAGCCAAAATAAAATCTCAACCCGCACAAACAATTCCAAACTCTGTTTCCGCACCCGCTGTCTGAAAGCTCTGCTTCTCTTGACCTGATTCATCCTGTCCATACTTTGTACATCCCCATAGCAGCCCATCTGCGCCGCCAGCCACCGTCTCCCGACCACTTAGCAGCGGCCTTTGTCCCTACAGATCCATCCCCGCGGGGACAGGAAAAAAAAAACTGGAAAAAACATCGCCTTGCTGGTTTACGCCCTCCAATTCGCGACAGTAGGACGCCCACGTCACACGACCACCTGTCGATTCAGGAAAGCTTCTTGTGGCTCTCTTGCAGCGACTTTTTATCTCCTGGATATGAGAGACTAGACGTTTCCTTGTCCTCGAAAGACATCTTCAACCGGCCGCTATCTCTAGTGGCCTGACTGACACCTCTCTGGTTCTCGCTTTGGCCTTCTATGCGATCAACTGATCTCCTGCGATTCCTCTTTTCGCGACCTTCAAAGTATGTCTTTGCTTGCTTTATTCTTTCTCCAGCTCGAGCAGTTTACCACTTCCATGATCCAGCCACACAGACTGAGGACTGACCCATGATTCTCTCCATCTAGGCCCCGATAGCACCCCTTCAAGCAACCCAGACATTAAGATATCGAACAAAGTTCAACTCAAACCCGCTTCTCCCAAGTCAACAGCCCCTGGCAAAATTCACCAGATCCGATACCGTCCCCTGAGTATCGGACAATACATCTCCGCGCAAAATTTCGTCGCAGAAGCGGTTTTTCTACCCCCTCTGTCCCCGGCCTCCATAACGTCCTCTTGAGACGTTAGCCGTTCTTACACCATCCCCATTGCTGCTGGCTTCCGCCAGCGTCGTTGGACTCACCACATTCCTGTGGGCCTACTCTCTCAAGCAGACGCCGCAAAGTCTGTTTGAGTGGCAGCTAGTGCTCCGCGGACTCATCGTCAGACGGGCATAGCAACAGCGTGCTCGAACGTCGACGGTAATTTTCTTTTATTTGGTCTTCTGCTTTGGACTGCGAGTAGCAGCAGCAAATCATCAACGAGAATGGCGAACCTGTCGGTCCCCAACAATTACACCTTTTCCCCGTCATCGGCAACTCCCCACTTGACTATCAATCATGACAATGCCGCGGAATTGGACTCGACCTATGCCTTTGAAGGTATGCATGCATTACTCTCTCGCGTATATTCTCATAGAATGTTTTTACTAACAAATTGTTCCAATAATTAGGCCCTGAAAAGCTCCTAGAGGTATGGTTTGCGCCGAGCGCTACGGCACTCCCCAGGGGCGCTCAACCTGCGGGCCTCAAAGCCGTGTCCTCTGAGACTTGGGAGACCATGCTCGACATGGTCAACTGCAAGATTCTCTCAGTGCTCGAATCTGACGCTGTTGACGCCTATCTTCTCTCCGAGTCGAGCATGTTTGTCTTCCCTCACAAGCTCATCTTGAAGACTTGTGGCACCACCACTCTCCTGCTTGGACTTCAGCGCCTGCTTCACATCGCTGCTGAGCATGCGGGCTTCCCCTTTGGCAATGCTACGTCTGCCAAGGAGATCAAGGCCATTGCTACTCCTTACCGGGTCTTTTACAGCCGCAAGAACTTTCTCTTCCCTGACAAGCAACACGGCCCCCACCGAAGCTGGAAGCAGGAGGTCAAGTACTTGGACGACATGGTTGATGGCGGCAGTGCCTACATGGTGGGAAAGATGAACGGAGACCACTGGTACCTCTACATCACGTCTCCCAACCGAGAGTTCACCCCGCCCTTGACCCCTGACTCGGAGAAGAATGAGGTGGCTCCGGCCAGCTTTTCGATTCCCGCCAGCTTTGGAGGACATGGAGGACCTGGGAGTGACGAGACGCTGGAGATTTTGATGACGGATCTCGACCCAGAGAATGCCAAGCAGTTTTACTTGGCACACGCGAGTGCGGTCGCGTGCGACAAGCTCTCTGCCGAGACCAAGGCTCGTCAAAATGCCGTTAGCGGGACCTCGACTCCGCTTGGTGAGGTTGACGTCTTTGCCGATGGCATGGAGTCTGATTTACATGAGCCCTGCGAGAAGCTCGGGGACATCGAGGGCCTCACTACCGAAGGCCACGCCCTCGGCACTGTTGTGTCGGAGCAGTGCGGTCTCGCCGACGTCTATCCCACCTCCGTCTACCCAGATGCCCGCATCGATTCCTACCTCTTCAGCCCATGTGGATTCTCTGCCAACGGCATCATCCCTCCGCCCCCGGCCACGCAGGAGGACGGTCAGGAGAGCGGCAAGAACGCCGGGCACTACTTTAGCGTTCACGTTACGCCTGAGACTGGCTTTTCGTTTGCTTCATTCGAAACCAACGTTCCAGGCGGCCAGAGCGGCCGAACCACCGCGGAGATTATCGAGCACGTTGTTGAAATCTTCAAGCCTGGCCGTTTCAGCGTCACTTTGTTCGAGGCCAAGGGCCGTGGCGACAACGCTTACGGTGTGGCCAAGGCTGAAGCCAAGGGCCTTGCTGCCCAGCGATTCATCGACTCTGTGCGCGGATACCGCCGCATTGATCGCATCGTGCATGACTTTGAGGATTACGACCTCGTATTCCGCTTCTATGAGCGCGAGGGCTGGGTTGGCGACAAGAAAGCCCGTGTGGGAGAGGAGATGTGATGGAGGTCGATTGGTGACCACTTCTGAACGACCAACACTGGGATACTGAAAGGGTTGTGGATATTGGGTTGGGTCTGGAGAAGATCCCCCCTCAGTTTCGTTCTGGACATTCCTTTTGAGCGATCATTCGCCTCTACCTTCACATTTGGTTGACTATTTAATGACGGTCCAACCACTATTTTTATTTCATAGTTTTGCATAGTGTTTGTGCTTTCGCCTTCATTTATGAATAATCTTTGCGCCTCGAAATGCACATGTCTTACTATTTCTACTGAGTGAAGTAAACTGTAATTCTTGAATCTGCTTGCGATTGGTATGTGACCAAGGTGGGTTTAGCTCAGACGTTATCAGTGCGCGCCTTATCGATAGTGGAAAATCTCCAAGGCCAATTTTTCCCAAGTCTCCACTTCACCAATTTTTTTCCAAAGCTACCAAAACGCATCACCAAAAACTTCATCCAATTCAAATCCCACAAGTCGAAACGAACCCAATTGGCACACACACCAGAGGCCATATTCCAAATACAAATCTCCCCCCTTGAACCGACTCTCGCCCACCCGCCCATCATGCATCTCATGTACACCCTCGACGCCAGCGGCAACCGCCTCTACACCCTCAAGAAGGTCGCCCACGGCCAGGTCACCAAGTCTGCGCACCCGGCGCGCTTCTCTCCCGACGACAAGTGGTCTCGCCAGCGCGTGACGCTGAAGCGCCGCTTTAACCTGCTTTTGACGCAGCAGAGTGAGTAGCCAGCTCGTTTCGTTTGTGTTATGGAGGGATTCATGTGTCTGACTGTGTTTTGTTTCTAGAGGAGGAGGCTATGTAAAGTCGCATCATTGAGATGCCCCTCGAACCATTAGCGAAAAGAAGAAATCCTTAGCGGCGCTAATTGGGAGCAACCTCGGGCATGCTTAAGAGGGGGTAATTGAACCGTCACTTTCTTCTGTTGGAGATATGAGATGAAGAGGATGCTATACTCTCGGTTGGAGAGCCACCTAGCCGGCCATTCGTCCCAATTCGGGTAACCGGGTGGCTTTACTTTCCTCGCATAGTATCGATGGCGAAATACGCATGAGCGAACAGGATTGCTTGTTTGGCGGAGACAATGGAGACTACTGAAGGGGGAGTGCGTGTCTGACTTGGTGGATGATGGATGGATGGATGGATGACAAGTTCACTATTTTCTGGATTGGAATCTTTCTCAATGATTGGGGAATGGATTTGGCGTTTCTTAGGCGATTACATGTACTTGGGCT